GGGGTAATATTAATTGGGGGCAGGGAAACAAAGCATTCAAAAAATGGAATAAAATTAAAATAAATGTTCCTATATTCCCCTCAAATTAGGTTCCCCCAGCCATACATTGACAACGATTTGCTTCGGGGCTGATGATAAAATAACGCCCCGTGGGGATTGGCTGCCGCCTGAGGGGGCTAAAAGCTTTGTATCTGCCTATTTACACTCTCATCAACCCTGGACTTAGACTTCTATCTGTAAATACCAACAAAGCTAGGGTAAACTGGGGGAACTCCTCCCCCTCATTCAACTCAAATAAAATATAGTATGGTATTTCTCTTTAAGAGTGAAAATAGAACAGAAATTGTTTTTTAATTGGTCCACAAACCCCAAAACAAAACTAAATCCATTTTGTTTAAATCCTGAACCTTTACTAGTTGAAACACTGAACCAATACAAGAAAAAAGCTAAACCCTTAGGGGTCATACAGTATCGGGTAAATCGGGGGTAATCATTTTGACCACAAAGGGAAAGGGAGCTTTTTTGGATAAAGAGCCCGTCACCACCTCAGCACCCCCTCTTTAAAGGGAATTATACATAATAATGGCCCAAAAGTCAAACCCCATGTTTAAAATTGCCCCTTTTTTTTTGTATTGTTTTTTTTTTTGTCCCACCGTGTCAATTTATTTGAAAATACTATTGTGATCCATATTTTTTAGAGCTTAACACTATACATGTGTTTTTTTTAATCAAAAGGACACACAAAAAATCAATTTTAACACTGAATTTTTTGAAATTTACGTATCAGTAATTAACATTATAAAATTTTTCGTCAAGTTTGTACGTACTTAAAAAAAACCAAGAGCATAAAAAAGATCAGATATTTTTTTGCCTTTATTTCCTGTGGGATAAATACAACAAACCTTTGTTACCTCCATTTTAAAAATAACTAGTGAACTTCTCCCAGGTGGCTCTTTTATGGAGTGGATCCAGCAGGGGAGCTGCATGGATGGCAGCAGAGTTTCAGAAAGTGAAGTGTTTGGGGAGAAGGTCTATATCATAGGTCACTTCCCGGGTCATAAGACTGACTAACCCTGGAGTCACAGTACAACAGAATCATATATAGGTATAGTATAAGTACTGTAATATTATTTTTATATATTATTATTATATATTATATATATATATAAATTTTATTATTATATAATATAATAATAATATATATAATATATAATATTGTAGGGTGCTTTACTGCTTTACTTTTTGGCGTTTAGTTTAGGGGGTTCCCTAATACGGTCATTTCAAAATTTACCAAAAATTTCTAAACCTCCCCCCCGATTTCAAACCCGGTACCCCCCCACCGGTTTTTTTAAATTTTTGGGTTTTTTTAAAAAATTTCATTTTTCAAAAAATAAAAACAATTTTTAAAATTATTTTTTTTTTTAAAACCGAAATTTACTTTGTTTGTCCCAAAAAAATTCCCCTGGGGGGGTTTATTTTATTAATTTTTTCCCCAACTCTATTATAAAAAAAAAACCCGTTCTTTTTTTTTTCCCTTTTTAACCATTTTTTTTTTTCCTCTTTTTTTTTTAAAAATTTAAATTCTTTTCCTTTGTTTTTCCTCCCTTTTTTTTTTTGGGGTTCCCCCTTTTAAAATTCCTTTTGTTAATAATAATTTAATAAAATAATAATTAATAATTTCACCAGTATCATTAATTTCGTATATTACTTTTAAATACCAATTCAATTAAATCCAGAATATTTTTTTTCAAAATTAATATAAAACCGATTAATAACATAAAAAAATGATAATCTCCCACCTAAATTAATAAACAAATATGGATGGGTAGCCACTAAACTTGTAAAGTTATACAAGAATAACATTTTCCTAGTCAACTAAGGAAATGTATTACTGGGGTACTGTAGAAAATTATTTTATATGTATGTAGTTTATTCATATAAAATACTTAATTTGATTAATTAATAAATTTTTAAAAAATAACCAAAAAAGGTAACAGATGGTCTTCATGAGAAGGGAAGGTTTTTTCCTTTATTTATTCCGTTATCTTTTAACAACTTGACAAAAAATAAATAATAAATAATTAACTGTTCCAAACCGCGGCCCAAGGGTTTTTTAAAAATTCTTTGGTTCAAAGCCTTGTTTGTTTTTCATACTCCCATTTCCTCCTTGTACAACATTCCTGTTTCTTCATATTTATTATTATCTCGTTTCCCACCTGACCCTAATAAACTACAAACTTTAGGTAAGGTAATATTGAACGTAATAAGGTTTATGTCCTGGATCTTAATTAGAAAGAAATATTATAAAGGCTTTTTAAAGTGGGTTCCTTATTTAAGCCGGCTTAATACCTTTACTACCACACTTTTCTTACAATAAATACCTATTTTGTCTCACCCAGATTAGGACTATAAATATTTTAAGCTAAGTGATGATGCACTAAATGTGTATTGTACTTTTTAATTATTTTTGATGCCAGTTCTTAAATGCTAAATAAATATTTTTTTATTATTTTTTTTTCACAACCCGATTCCCAAAGGCAGGTGGCCCAAAAAGAAAAAACCCCCATTCACTCCAATTCATTGTTGCCAGAAATGTTACAACTAACAGTTTTTTAAACCTGCAAAAATTAGCAACCTATTATAGTGGCAGGCACTGTACTTCCAAAATTCCAGTACTCATGTCCGGCCTAAGGTTTTCCGTTTCCCTTCATAAGTTACTTTGCTCAACTAAAAGCACGCAATTTTTAAAACCCAGTCTATCACTCCTATCAACACGCTAGATGGCCTTCGGGAAAGTCGGGCCCCTTTTCGCACACAAAAATTCTTTAGCTTCCTCCAACCCTTCCTTGGCCGACTACCCGCCTTTTTTTTACTCGCTGTTCCACCTTGAATCATTCTGTTTCCATCCATTTTTCTAACATGTCCAACCACCTAACAACCCTCCTCAAGCCTCACAAACATTTTGGTAATCCGCACCTCCTCAACTTCAATCGTTTCTCTGCATAATTTTCCCACATCAACATTTGCCCTCGAAAATGACTCTCCACTCTCCACCACCTTCTCCTCCTGCAAAATTATCATCACTTTCACACCATAATAAGGGCTGTAAAACTTAACTAGTTAATCCTTTTTTGCTAGAAGTTCTTTTTCCAGATCCTTAAGTGCACCACACTTTACCTCATAATCTTTTATTACCTCATCTTTCATTAGATCACCTCCCCGCTGCACCCACTCCCAAAATATCTGAAAAACTTTCCCCTCCTCCATATTTCTTCAATATGATTTAAAAAATTCTTTATCACTAATCTTTTTATTATCCTCATAATTTAATATGGGTTTTGTTAAACCTGTTATGTTTATTTGCGTCCTTTCACAGTGGAAAAAATAGGTTTGTTCATTACGCTACCTACCCCTGCATGCCGTATAAGTGGGGCCCTGTATATTTATATTTTATTATAATTATTATATTATTATAAATATTAAATTTATATTTTAAATTGTATATTTATTAAATAAAATATTACCTAGGAAGGTTGGTAAAAGCAACCGCCCAATAACTACGTCCTGCAATAAGTAAAACTGCAACCTGAATGTTTACACGGGGTAGGATTCTGTGTCTTTTTTTTTGTCTCATTACCCCATGCCAAGATGCAGGTAAAACTTCTTCTCTTCTCCTTTCCTTAGGTCAAATTCCTACATAAACTTAATTACAAACCCTTTATTTTCCTTCTATTTCCTATTCTTTCTTGATTACCGTCTTACCCAAATGAAACAGATTCTTCCCCACCTTCTGAATAAACACTAAATGCCAGGAGCAATTTTAGTATCCCTTTTATTTATATATTACTAAATGGTAAAAGGGAAAAAACAATGGGTTTTTCCCTTTGGGCCACCCCGCCTCGGTGGAAACGCCAGTTTTGTTGAAAGAAAATAATATATATATACTATATATATATATATTAATATATAATTTTATATATATATATAATATATATATATACAAAAAGACAACCCTTCTCCTGCATTATTCTTACTGAGACCTGGCCTAAGCGGGACACAGTTGATATCTACCCACTACCAGGATACACAGCAATCCACAACTGCAGACCATACCAAGTTAGGGGTGGTACTGCAATCTATTACTCTAACCAACTATCTTGTATTAGAATTAATTGCTTTAGTGATGAATATGGGGAATACATTTTTGCTAATTTTACTGTAAAAACCTCAAGACGCCTATAACAATCGGTGCCAAATACCGGATACCCCACACAAACATCCCAAACTTCAGTGAGAATCTAAAGTCACTAATAACAAACAGACAAATAACAAGCACCACCTTCTCTTAGCTGGAGACTTCAATATCAACCTTGGCTACCAGATGATCAGCCTGTAACTGATTTCATTAAAAATATGAACAACACACTTCTCATACCAAACAAATAACTAAACAACCAGGCTGACGAGACAAGTGCAACCATAACAGACCACATATGGACCAATATACTAGCCCCCCTTAAATCAGGGATAATCACAGACAGCACTACTGACCACTACCCAACCTTCCTCTTAACAAACATTAGTAAGCCACCACTCGAATACAATAAAGTTTCATTTAGACTCCATGACGAGGCCTCAATAAGGAATTTCACAGCAGACTTAGAGACTGTTGACTGGCCTACAGAATTCTCCAATGCCAATGGTATTGACGATTGGACAGACATTTTTCTTAACAAAATACTTAGACTATACAACAAACATTGTCCTATAAAAACTAAACTAAACTAAACTAAATCCTAACTAGTCATAAGTTTGCCTATGATACTCCAATATAGACACCTTGTATTGTGCCAAAACAAAAGCATTCACATTGCTAAACTCACAAATTATGATGTAGTCACTTAGCCTTAATACCATAATCTGTAAGGATTTAATGTTAAGAATTAATCTAAGTCTGCTCGAAATGCCTAGCCATGCTAGGTGTCCTAGTGGCCCCCTCTGTAATTAGTATTTTATAACATGTAAACCACACAATACCCAAAACCTGTAAACCCCACATTGTAACCCTTATAGAGAATAAACTTGAATTGAATTGAATTGAATAAATGGCTTGGTTGCCCATGGCTAACCAGCAGCATTCTGAAATCCATTGATAAGAAACACCAATATGAAAAGCAATATAGACGGGTTTAATTACACAAAAATATTCTTAAACAATTTTAAAACAGTTTCACCAAATTAATAAAGAAAGCCAAACAACTGTACTACTCCAGCAGATTCACTGACACAAGAGGAGATATAAAAAAAAACCTGGAAAACACTTTCCCAGATTCTGGGGACCAACAAACTAAAAAAAACAAGAATATTGTCCTAACTAAACCTCATGAAACACCACTGCATCCCACTGACACAGCTAACAAGATAAACGACTTCTTCTCAAACATAGGATCTAATCTTGCCAGTAAAATCCCACGTACCAATGCCCGTACCGGGGACTACCTAGATGGGAATTTCCAAATTCCTTCTATCTTGTACCAACTGAGCCCACGGAAGTCACCGCGATCATAAAGTCATTTAAAAATAACTGGGGGAATCTGTCTCACGCCCCCACCATTATTGTACAACGAGCGGCCCATGTCCTTTCGCATGCTATTACATTATTTTTTAACAAGTCACTAGACACTAGCACTTTCCCGACACTACTCAAGACAGCAAGGGTTACACCAATACATAAAGGTGGTGACCCTACAGATCTAAACAACTATAGGCCAATATCAAACTTACCATTGCTATCCAAAATCTTCAAGAAACTCGTGCACGGGAGACTATATTAATTTATAACTTCACAAAACATACTCAACCCCTGCCAATTTGGATTCAGGAAAAATAAAAGCACTAATGATGCAATTCTAAAAATGCTAGACCTGCTTTACACAGCATTGGAAAATAAGGAATATCGGCTAGGAATTTTTATTGACCTAAGAAAAGCGTTTGACACAGTAGACCACGGCATTTCCCACTCCCCAAACCCTTTACCACTATGGTATAAGAGGCCATGCGCTTGCATATTTTAAATCCTACCTTTCTAATAGGTATCAATATGTC